TTCTACAATGAGAACAATAAAACATTGATGAAACAAATTGAAGCGATACAAAAAATAGAGAGACATCCTGTGTGCATGGATTAGAAGAATCAATATTGTTAAAATGTCCCTATTACCCAAAGCAATCTACAGATTCAATGCAATCTCTATCAAAATACCGACATTCTTCACAGAATTTTTTTAGTCCTAAAATTTACACAAAATCAAAAAAGACCCATAAAGCCAAAGAAATCCTAAGCAAAAAGAACAAAGCTGGAGTGGCTGAGCTAATTTGCATTCCCACCAGCAGTTTATTAGTGTTCCCTTTTCTCCACAACCTCAACAGCATGTTAATTTTTGACTTTTTAATAACAGCCATTCTGACTGGTGTGAGATGCTATCTCATTATTGTTTTGATTTGTATTTCTCAAATGATTAATGCTATTATAAGTTTTTTTATATGCTTGTTGGCCATGTGTATGTCTTCCCTGGAGAACTGTCAGTTCATATCCTTTGCCCATTTTTAATGGGTTTGTTTGTTCATTTGTTTGTTTGTTTTTTGATTGTTGCTTTGAGTCCCTTATAGATTCCAAACATTAGACCTTTGTCAAATGCATAACCTGCAACTATTTCTTCCCATTCTGTAGGTTGTCTGTTTACTCTGGTGTTAGCTTCCTTTGCTGTTCAGACGCTCCTTGGTTTAATTAGTTCCCACTTTTCAATTTTTGGTTTTGTTGCAATTGCTTTTGGAGTCTTTATCAAAAAATCTTTGCCAGGACTGATGTCCAGCGTGGTATTTCCTCTTTTCTTCTGTGTTTTTAACACTTTTACATCTTACATTTAAGTCTTTAATCCATCTTGAGTTGAATTTTGTATATGGTCAAAGGAAGGGGTCTAGTTTCAAAATTTTGCCTATGACTAGCCAGTTATCCAAGCACCATTTATTGAATAGGGAGTCTTTCCCCATTGCTTACTTTTTTCAGCTTTGTTGAAGATCAGGCAGTTGTAGGTATGTGGCTTTATTTCTGGGTTATCTAATTAACGTGTTGCATTGGTCTATGTATCTGCTCTTGTGCCAGTATCATGCTGTTTTCAATACTGTAGCCTTGTTGTGTAGTTTGAAATCAGGTAGTGTGATGCCTCTCGCTCTGTTCCTTTTGCTTAGGATTGATTTGGCTATTTGGGCTCCACTGCGACATTTACCCATGTTAACAAACCTACACGTGTACCCCAAACCTAAAATGAAAGTTGAAAAAAATAATAATAAAGTTTTTTAACTAAATGTAAAATTATGTTTTAAAAGATCACATAATTAGTAAATAGTACATACAGAACTTGAACACTAATCTGACATTAAATGTTGCACTTATAGCCATTATACCATATTACTTTCCTTTTAAACTATACTGTCTTCACTCAATATGTAATTATTTTGGAAGTTAAGTACACTAAAATTCCCATAAACACTAACATTTTTAGACTATTTGTATGTTTGCTCACATTTCACCATTTTTTGAAGTTCACACATGTACATGCTCATCAACTTATGTTTCAGCTTCCCTGAAGGAAGATTTAAGGAGAAGAAAAACACTTTCCAAAATATATCAATACAAAAGATTGTTATAAAAAGTCAATGACTTATAATTGACAATTGGATAAATGGACAGATTCTAAGAATTTCAGACTATTAAGTGAAATTAATATAGTCAGAAGACTATAAACCAAATAAATATATAAAAGTAAAAAAGAATTCCATATTAATACATTTTCTAATTACATTATCAAAGAAAATAGAGAATTTTGAAAGCAGCAAGATAAGTAACTTGTTGCATACTAAGAGAACGTCCTCCATAAGACAATTGGGGGATGGCAGGTTTCTGCAGAAACCTTGTAGGCCAACAGAGAGTGGGATGATATGTCCAGAGAGATGAAAAAATAAAATGCTAACAAAAATTAATGTATCTTGCACACCATCCCTCAATAACGAAAAGAAATACTTTCCCACATAAACAAAAGTTGAGTGAGTCTGTCAGCACCCTACCTCCATTATTATTTCCAAAGGGAAACCTTAAACTTTAAAAAATGGGACTAAAGAGCAGCATGAGAACATAGGAACGTATAAAGCTCACTGATAAATGACTAATATGAAAAGTCTAGTACTAATATTATACTCAACAATAAAAAACTGAAAACTCTTCCTTTAAGATCAAGAACAAGATAAGGATTCTACTCTCACCACTTCTATTCAGTATAGTACTTGAAATCCTAACAAGAGCAATTAGGGAAGAAAAAGAGATAAAAAGATTAGAAAAGGATATAAAATATGAAGTGTTTTATGGAGAATTAAACACATAAAAAATGAAATAGTATCTTATACCTATTAGGATTATCATTATCAAAAATAAATAAATAAACAAGAAATAAGAAGTGTTCAAAGGATGTGGGGAAATTGGAACCCTTGTATACTGTTCGTGGCCATATAAAATGCTACGCCCACCATGAAGATACTATGGAGGTTAGAACTACCATATGATTCGGTATTCTCACTTATGGGATCTCAATTCTTCAAAAAAAGAATTGAAATCAGTATTTGGAAGAGATATTTGCACTCCCATATGTTCATTGCAGCATTATTCACAATTGCCAAAATATGGAAGCAACTTAACTATTATTTACATATGAATGAATAAGCAAACTATGTTATATACATATAATGGAATATTAGCCTCAAAAAAGAAAGAAAAAGGTCATACCCAACGGCTATGAACCTTGGGCTAGCACAGAAGAACAAACACTGTCTGATTTCACTTATATGAGATATCTAAAAAAGTCAACGCATAGAAGCAGAAAGTAGAATGGTGGTTTTCTGGGACGGGGGCAGAGGGGAATAGGGAGTTGTCATTTAAAGGCATAAAGTATCAGTTATGCAAGATGCAAATGTCTCGGAAATCTGCTGTTCAACATTATGCTTACAGTTAATACTGGACTATACCTAAATATGTGTTAAGTAGGTAAATCTCATGTTACGTATTTTTATCACAATATTTTAAAAATAAATAAGTGTTTTGAGAGCCCCCAGCTAAATTCAGATTTCAGTACCAGAGTGGTTAAAAACCCTGCCCTAAAAAGGAAAGGAATGGGAGCTGGATGTAGGGGTTTACAGTGTTCACACAACACTTTTCCTTCAGTGGATGGCCTGATGCCTAGTTGTTAGACCCGTGACCAGGGGAACCTTCACACAGGAAACTTGTTTATACTGGCAGATGCCCTTGGGGCTCTTATCTGACCCATGTCCAGTTTATGTCTGCCTGACCACTGCTCTGGCTCTGGTTGCCTGACACTGTGTTCTCACTGCAGTCCTAGGGAAAACCCAGCCTGAAACAGCCCCTAATTTTTCAGACAGAAAGCGTAAATTCAGTACACCACCGCAAGAGGAAACAAATTCAAAGCCGTCTACTTGCAGATCCTGGGAAAGGAGAGAATAATGAATTGGGAGGGCAGTGTTCTGTCCCCGGGTCAGATGAGGTGGAAATGAAGAAACTGGCAGAGAGACCAAAATCTCGGAAATCACCACTAAAGAACTTATCCGTGTAACCAAACACCACCTGTTCCCCAAAAGCTATTGAAATAATAATAATAATAATAATAATAATAATAATAATAATAAAAGGAATACATGGCAACTAGCAGTTTATGTAAGGAAATCAGGTGTAGGTCACTTAAAGTTTGCAGGCAAATGCCTGAATAGTTCATTCAAAGGAAGCAACAGGAAAGCAGGGAACCCAGTCAGCTAGCCAGGAGAGATGCCTCTAAGTTATCTCTGGCGTCTGGCTTGAGCCATTTGGAAGTGGTGTAAGAACTAGAAACTGTGTCAAGGGTGACTAAGCCCTGCTGTGGTGTGAGAAAGTTAAACTTGTAATCAAAATGAATGATGAGACAACATAAAATCGTAAGAATTCCCTCCAATAAGATACATATGTATACTGAATACATAATAAAAATTATTGACTCCTTTCTATGCTAATAAAACCATCACGAGGTTATATGCCATTAAACATAAGCAATATAAAAATAGGTTTCCTTGTTCCATTCTGGATTTACTACACAGGACCGCCTACACAGTGAATGCTGTGGATATACAATCTGTCACTCAATAAGTTGTACATTTTAGTGACATTTCTGATTGTAATGGAGGTAAATGGACATCTCAGCTCCCGAGGTACTCACTGGGAGTTTGACTAATATCTGTAAATGTTTACTTCTAATTTTATGGCCCTCAGGATAGTGAATTGTCTTGCAGTGGTTTTTGTTGTCATGTGAGCAAATTGGCTTTAGAATACTAATCAAAGCAATTAGTTATAATAAATAAATAAATAAATCCCAGGCCCTATAGTTTAATCATCCATAAAACACTTGCTGTCTTCCAAAAAATTAATGACAATTATGACCATCATCATCTTACCATCATTTTACGGTAATTTAAAACTCAACATATTGTGGTATCTTCAGTTCTCTTTGACACTTATTTTAGCTTTGAGAGACAGAACTTGGTGGTTGAAATATGAGTTTGAGACGTGGTGTGCTTTTGCGGAGGAAGGTGGCAGCATTTTCAAATGGAGCTCTCTTCTTTGCCCACACCTTTAGTCATCATCTTTGTAGGTAGTATAAGACTTTTGTCTCATTTTTATCAAATAGAAGCTACCAAAGGTGCCTTTGACAACTCCTCAGAAATTCTCATGCTTCATAAGACGCAGCCTGTAACCCTTTCTGAACATATTTAAGCGTCTAACTTCCAGCCTCTTGTCTAGTATTAATAACTTCTTCACAAAGAGTTCCATAATGTTATCATTGTCACTTAATAGATTTTTAAAAATCACATTGCAAGAAAATATTCCACGCAATAGACGCAGCCTTTACACTTTAACAATCCCTAGCTGCCTGGGCCAATATTATTCTCATTTGTAGGATGTAGGCTGCACGGATTATAATATGTGCCTTTCCTTTTTAATCACCACAGATTTGCAAACTTCATGGCCTATTTTGGCCTTAATCTCAACGTCCAGCCTCTGGGGAATAATGCTTTCCTGTTGCAGACTCTCTTTGGTGCAGTCATCCTCTTGGCCAATTGTGTTGCACCTTGGGCACTGAAATACATGAACCGTCGAGCAAGCCAGATGCTTCTCATGTTCCTCCTGGCAATCTGCCTTCTGGACATCATACTTGTGCCACAGGGTGAGAAAAGATCACAGGTGGAGGAAAGAAAATGCCTTTCGCTCTTTTCTCAGGGATTGTACTGGTCACACCTATCTGAAGCCAGAAGGAAAGGGAGATTTGGGTTCTCAGGATTTCCTGACAATAATCTGGGGATTTGGGACAGAGTCTGCCAGAAGTTGTTGGAAAACAAGTCACAGATGAGTAAAGGTTGGCTCTATTATATGGTTGTCCTCATCATATTCAAGAAATACTAAGAAACTGAAGCCATTTATTTCTGACGGTTTCTCTACAACAGCAATCACTTACTTACTCTTTGGCCGATCAAACATTAAATGTGTATTGAGGTATAGGCCTTGTCATTGTTTCCCAACATGAGGACATAATACTGCTACTTCCTCTGTCCGGGCTCTTTCTTATTACTACAGCTTCAGTGACAAAGTATCCCAATTCCCATGTATCTACTTGTGGGCCTTGTATTAGGTCACCTTAACTACAATCCTGGTTTAGGGGAGTCATCTTGACTTCAAGGGAACAAAAGTGCCCCATCTTTATGTAAAGAACTGTACAGTAGAAATGAAGAAATTGTCAGTTAATAGCCTCTTGTAGATTCTATTTTAAGAAATTAACTGATCATATGTAATAAGTAAGGGAACCCAGGTGGCCACCAGTCTTCACCTAACTCTTAGTGTAGTAATGTATTTAACAGGATCCCAGATTGGTGTGCTCCACTCCCCTTCTGGAATGCCAGCAATGATCCAAGTGTGCTACAAAGCAACAGAACCCTCCAGTGTCATGAGGCTATTACAGGATTTCTTCAGCTGGATAGAAACAAGACTCTGAAACTTCCCTTCAATGCTTTCTAAAGTCTGACTTTTTTCCTCTTTTCGAGGTCCTTATTCCTGATCCTTAAAACACTGATACTCTCTAGCTTCTCTCCTAACATAGAACTCCTGATCTTTTATGACTCTCTTCTGCAACCCTAGCCCCATGTCAATACTGTGTATGTACCTAGGTTTTAAAGGCCAGGAGAACATGGATGGGTCTTACACTCCCAAGTATCGCACACATGACAGTTCTACCAGCTAGGCAGAGGAGTCCCTGGACGGAATAAATGAAAAAGCATTCAGCTCAACTTACATGCCTCTCTCTTGCTATGGCGTATCTCTGATATATAGTGAGAAGTGAAGTAATAGCTCAGATCCTTTTTATTCACTGTTTAAGCCACAAGGTGAAGATAAATCACGTTTCTCAGCTATCAGCCACTGCACATTCTTTGCCCCTATGCAGTTTCCCGACAGTACATTTTAACCTTGCGAACACCTCCAATACAGTCCTTTTCACTTCTAGCTTGGGGGATGCTGATTCCTTCAGCTGAAATTTCCTAAGGCCTTGTGTTCTTCCTTTCTCCAGAAATGCAGATGCTGCGTGAGGTTTTGGCAACGCTGGGTTTAGGAGCGTCTTCCCTTGCCAATACCCTTGCTTTTGCCCATGGAAATGAAGTAATTCCCACCGTAATCAGGTACAAAACCTTGTGTATGCTCTGTTAGGTTCAAAATGGACCTTTCTCAGATAATTGACACTTTTTGCGGGAAGAAATCTAAGACTGGTTAGTTAAGAAAATAAATTGTAACAGTCATAAACACAAATAATTATAGACCAACTTTATCTCAAGCTGACTTTTCGCCACTGTGTTAAGTCCTTTGATGTATTATAGCATCCCACATAACCTTCTGAGTCACCTAAGAGGTTGGTGCTAAAGGATAGCAGTATTTCCTAGATGATGAAAATGCATCTAACGCACTTGTGACCTGAAAAATTAATTGCCAGCAAATAAAAGTGAAAATTTCAAACACAGGAGTATTTCGTCACCTCTGTGTGTCTAAATGTTTCCCCATAATGAGAGCAAAATGATAAATCACAAATTGCCTGTGTGGATTTTTAACAGATATTCTTGTATTGCTGTTTCCACTCAAAGGACAAGAGCTATGGGAATCAATGCAACCTTTGCTAATATTGCAGGAGCCCTGGCTCCCCTCATGATCATCGTAAGTGTATATTCTCCACCCCTGCCCTGGATCATCTATGGAGTCTTCCCCTTCATCTCTGGCTTTGCTTTCCTCCTCCTTCCTGAAACCAGGAACAAGCCTCTGTTTGACACCATCCAGGATGAGAAAAATGAGTGAGTAAACAGCCCAGTTGCCCCTCAGAGGATCTGTGTGCTATAGGTCTGTGCTGAGGAAGGCAAGATACCATTTAGGGCCACTGTCCTCCCAAAAGGCGTAGACTGAGGATTTTCCCATGTAATCAGTGCCTTAGGTCTAGGTACAGCCTCATGCCTTCCCACAGTGACCTCAGACATCCCCTGAGGCTCTCCAGATCACACACACCAGCTCTGCCCAGCTTGTCAAAGGTTCGTAGTGAAGAAGCCAAAATTAGGTCTCCTCCTCCTTCCCTGCCCTAGTGTGATATGCACACTCTTGAAGGTATTTTACAAACATGCAGAGATCCAAACACCAGATTTTCATCCCTGGGGAACCCGCAAGCCAGTGGGTGTCTGTAAGCTGTCTGAGACTGCCGGTGCTTACAGGCCTGACTACTAGGCCACTGAAGAATCTGTGGGAGAGTCTGCAGATGCAGGGATAGCCAATCTTTTGGCTTCCCTGGGCTACAATGGAATAAGAATTGTCTTGGGCCACACATAAAATACGCTAACACTAATAATATCTGATGAGTTTAAAAAAAAATCACAAAAATACCTCATAATGTTTTAAGAAAGTTTACAAATTTGTGTTGGGCCACGTTCGAAGCCATCCTGGGCCACAAGCAACCTGTGGGCCATGGGCTGGACAAGCTTGCACCAGGTGTCCAAGGATGACAACTAGAAGGTATCCAAGCTGCCTTCCCAGATCCTAATCTGGGAGCTTCATCTTTTACTTCACAAGGTTCACTCAGTCCCTTGGGGACAGATATATGGTTTTTACCAAAGCTAATGGACAAAGAATCAACATGCCCTAAAGAATGCAGGACTTACATGCTTAGTCCATGTCTTTTCATTTTTGTGATTTTTTGTTTGTTGGTTTCTTTGTGTTTGTTCCAGGAGAAAAGACTCCATTGAACCAAAGCAGGAGGGTCCCAGCATGGAAGTAACACAGTTTTAAGGAATTCCGGGAGCTGACTGCTGATCAATGAGCCAAATGAAGGGAACAATCAGGACTGTTCCTAGACACTAGCAAAATCTAGAAAATAAATAACAGGGCGGTGGCTCACGCCTGTAATCCCAGCACTTTGGGAGGCTGAGGCGGGCGGATCACAAGGTCAGGAGATCGAGACCACCCTGGCCAACATGGTGAAACCCTGTCTCTACTAAAAAAAAAAATACAAAACTTAGCTGGGCGTAGTGGCACATGCCTTTAATTCCAGCTACTTGGGAGACTGAGGCAGGAGAATCACTTGAACCCGGGAGGCAGAAATTGCAATGAGCCAAGATCGGGCCACTGCACTCCAGCCTGGTGACAGAGCGAGATGCTGTCTCAAAAAAAAAGAAAGAAAGAAAGAAAGAAATTAAAATAAATAACAAGATATAGTGAATAAGTAGATTTACTTCACAATTGTGGTACTAAATAAATATAAGCTGTCTACAAATAATCATAGAAAAAGTTTGAAGAAAATTACGTAACACTTTAAAATAAATCATAGTAGACTATATAGTTGCAGGTCCCTAGCAAATTTCTGGATAGGAAGATTGAATGATATTAAACACAATGTTTCTTCTTCAATTATTTGATAGAGTAACTGGTGGGATAAGTACAATGAAAAATCTGATGCTTTTACAAAAACTTGAAAAATAAATTCAAATTTATCTAGGAATTAATAGTAGACATTTGGTTCAGAAAAAGGCAGATCAGGGAGTGAAAACGTGACTGTCAGGTAAGTGGGGTAGATACACAGAGCTTTATCGTAAGTTGTAATATTCATAACATTGTTAGCAGATGCATTTACAAAACAAAGAAATTCAAAAGTAGACTTTAGTATGTATAACATCTAATGTGTAACAATTTCAGCATTGTACATTTTTAGAGGAAACACCAAATTATGGAATAAATAGCATTAGCCAACGAATCTGAAATACATGACTAACAATTCAACTTTATATCCTGCATTAGTCAGGGTTATCTAAAGGAACTGAAATAATAGGATATATGTGTACATGAAAGTGAGTTTATTAGGAGAACTGACTCACACAGTCACGGGATGAAGTCCCACACTAGGCCATCTGCAAGCTGAGGAGCCAAGAAGCCAGTGTGAGTCCCAAAACCCCAAAAGTAGGGAAGCCGACCATGCAGCCTTCAGTCTGTGGCCAAAAGCCTGAGAACCCCTGGCAAATCACTGGTGTTAAGTCCAAGAGTTCAAAAGCTGAAGAGCTTGAAGTCGGATGTTTGAGGGCAGGACGTATCCAGCAGGGGAGAAAGATGAAGGCCAGAAGACTCAGCAAGTCTGCCCTTTCCCTCTTCTTCTGCCTGCTTTATTCTAGCTGCACTGGCAGCTGATACGATGGTGTCCCCCCAGACTAAGGGTGGGTCTGCCTCTCCCAGTCTACTGACTCAAACAAGGATGCCCACTTTTACCACGTTTATGCAACATAATATCGAAAGTCCCAGTCAGAGCAATTAGGCAAGAGAAACAAATCAAGGGCATCCAAATTGGAAAGGAAGAAGTCAAATTCTCTTGTTTGCAGAAGATAATTTTTTTATGGGAGTTTAATCTTTTCACTGACAAGTAAGCTTTATTATGTGTCAAATCAACACTTTAGTTTTTTTTATTGACACATTGTGACAATGTATGGAATGAGTAATAAGCCAGGGTAATTTGGGATATCCATCACCATGCATGTATGCATATTTATCATTTTTAGGTGTTGTTATCATTTCCAGTCTTCTCTTCTAGTTACTTTGCAATATACTTAATAGTATTGCTACATATGGTCATCCTAGTCTGCTGTCAAACATTAGGATGATTTCTTCAATCTAACTGCATGTTTGTATCCATAAACAACCTCTCTTCTCCTCCCTTTCCCAGTTCCTGATATCTATCCTATTCTTGATGTCCATGAGATCCAGTTTTTAGCTCCCACATTTGAGTGAGAACATGTGGCATTTATCTTTTTGTGCCTCCCTTATGTCACTTGTCATAATGACACCCAGTTCCATCCATGTTGCTGGAAAAGGATTCCACTCTTTTTACTGGCTGAATAGTGTATGTGTATATATGTGTATGGGTATGTGTGTGGATATGGGTACGTATGAGTGTGGGTGTAGGTGTGTATCCAGAAAACAAATAGTGCGTATAAACACGTACATATGCATGCGTGCACACACACACACACACACACACACACACACACACACACACACATTTTTCTTTTCCAGTCAGTCATTGATGAACACTTAGGTTGATTCCATATCTGTGCTACTGGGAATAGCATTGTGATAAACCTGGGAGTCAAAGGTATCCCTTTGAAACAATAATTTCTTTTCTTTTGGATAGATACCCTGTAGTGGGATTGCTGCATCATGTGGTAGTTCTAGTTTTAGTTTTTCTGAGAAATATCCATACTGTTTTCCATAATGGTTGCACTATTTTACATTCCCACCATGTCTAAGAGTACCCTTTTCTCTGCACCCTCACCAGCATCTGGGGGGGTGTGTGTGTGTGTCTGTGTGAGTGTGTGTGTATCTGTCTTTTTAATTATAAACATTCTGTGATGAGATAATATCTCATTGTGGTTTTGATTTATAATCCCTGATAATTAGTGTTGAGCATTTTTCATATACTATTGGTCATTTGTATGTCTTCTTTTGAAAAATATTGTCCATTTTTAGTGGGATTGTTTGGTTTTCTATAGTTGAATTGTTATTCTTGTATAGAATACCTATTAGTCCCCTTAGGATGAGCACTTTGCAAATGGCTTCTCCCATTCAAGTGACTTGCACTTCCCTTATAATAGGTGATGTTGAGCAGATTTTCATATACCTATTAGCCATTTGCACATCTTTTTTTAGGTAAGATTTTATTTATTATGATGGGTGTGCTTGCCTGTTCATAAGTTCATTCCAGTCTGGAACACAGGAAAATAATTCTACCTGCATAGCTGCTGCACCATTCAGCCCATTTCTTTCCTTTGTTTTTAACTGGGTTAAGATAGAAAACCCTAGTTCACACTAACTAGTTGTTGTGAGTGGTAGTAATAGCAGGACACTCTTTTGACTTAACAATGGAAAGTCGTCCTTTACCTTAATCCAAAATGCTGATAAACTTAAGGTCTCATAATCATTCTTTAATGTATATGAAGAACTAAGCTGCACTAATTCATTCTCTTCTTCAGGCACCAAGTTTAGCTCAATTATTGATTCAGGGTTTCGAAAAGCAGATGGATCTTTTACCCAACAGTTTTCCCTTAATGTTTCAAATTTTTCTTCTGGAAAGAACTGGTTAAAAGTTTGAGATACATCACTTCCAAGATGGCCGAATAGGAACAGCTTCAGTCTACAGCTCCCAGTGAGATCAATGCAGAAGACAGGTGATTTCTGCATTTCCAGCTGAGGTACCTGGTTCATCTCATTGGGACTGGTTGGACAGTGGGTGCAGCCCATAGATGGTGAGCCAAAGCAGGGCAGGGCATCACCTCACCCGGGAAGTACAAGGGGTTGGAGGATTTCCCTTTCCTAGTCAAGGGAAGCTGTGAGTGACTGTACCTGGAGGAACAGTACACTTCTGCCCAAATACTGCACTTTTCCCAGGGTCACGGCAAGCAGCAGACCAGGAGATTCCCTCCTGAGCCTGACTAGGCAGGTCCCATGCCCATGGAGCCTTGCTCGCTGCTAGCACAGCAGTCTGAGATCAATCTGGGATGCTGGAGCTTGGCGGGGAGAGGGGCATCCGCCACTGCTGAGGCTTGAGTAGACGGTTCTATGTTCACAGTGTAAACAAAGCAGCAGGGAAGTTCGAACTGGGCAGAGCCCACCGCAGCTCAGCAAGGCCTACTGCCTCTCTATATTCCGCCTCTGGGGGCAGGGCATAGCTGAACAAAAGGCAGGAGACAGCTTCTGCAGATTTAAACCTCCCTGCCTGACAGCTCTGAAGACAGCAGTGGTTCTTCCAGCACGGCGTTCGAGCTCCAATAACAGACAGACTGCCTACTCACATGGGTCCCTGACCCCTGTGATTCCTGATGGGGAGACACCTCTCAGTGGGGGCCGACAGACGTCTCATACAGATGGGTGCCCCTCTGGGACAAAACTTCCAGAGGAAGGATCAGGCAGAAATATTTGCTGTTCTGCAGCCTCTGCTGGTAATACCCAGGCAAACAGGGTCTGGAGCAGACCTCCAGCAAACTCCAACAGACCTGCAGCTGAGGGGCCTGACTGTTAGAAGGAAAGCTAACAAACAGAAAGGAATAGCATCAACATCAACAAAAAGGACGTCCACACCAAAACCCCATTCATTGGTCACCAACATCAAAGACCAAAGATAGATAAAACCACAAAAATGGGGAGAAACCAGAGCAGAAAGGCTGAAAATTCCAAAAACCAGAACACCTCTTCTCCTCCAAAGGAACACAACTACTTGCCAGCAAGGGAACAAAACTGGATGGAGAATAAGTTTGATAAGTTGACAGAGATAGGCATCAGAAGGTTGGTAATAACAAACTTCTCTGAGCTAAAGGAGCATGTTATAACCCATTGCAAGGAAACTAAACCTTGAAAAAAGGTTAGACGAATGGCTAACTAGAATAACCAGTGTAGAGAAGAGCTTAAATGACCTGATGGAGCTGAAAACCCCAGTACGAGACCTTCACGAAGCATACACAAGCTTCAACAGCCAATTCCATCAAGTAGAAGAAAGGATATCAGTGATTGAAGATCAAATTAATGAAATAAAGTGAGAAGACAAGATTAGAGAAAAAAGGGTGAAAAGAAACAAACAAAGCCTCCAAGAAACATGAGACTATATGAAAAGACCAAATCTGTGTTTGATTGGTGTACCTGAAAGTGACGGAGAGAATGGAACCAAGTTAGAAAACACTCTTCAGGATATTATCCAGGAGAACTTCCCCAACCTAGCAAGGCAGGCCAACATTCAAATTCAGGAAGTACAGAGAACACCACAAAGACACTCCTCTAGAAGAGCAACCTCAAGACACATAATCATCACATTCACCAAGGTTGAGATGAAGGAAAAAATGTTAAGTGCAGCCAGAGAGAAAGGCCAGGTTACCCACAAAGGGAAGCCCATCAGACTAACAGTGGATCTCTCTGCAGAAACCCTACAAGCCAGAAGAGAGTGGGGGCCAATATTCAGCATTCCTAAAGAAAATAATTTTCAATCCAGAATTTCATATCCAGCCAAACTAAGCTTCATAAGTGAGGAAGAAATAAAATTCTTTCCAGACAAGCAAATGCTGAGGGATTTTGTCACCATCAGGCATGCCTTAAAGAGTTCCTGAAGGAAGCACTAAATATGGAAAGGAAAAACTGGTACCAGCCACTGTAAAAAACAAACCAAAATGTAAAG